GTCCTGACTGTTGTCTGTGCTTATGCACCGAACAACAGTTCAGAGTACCCACCCTTTTTGGAGTCCCTGGGACGGGTGCTGGACAGTGCCCCGACCGGGGACTCCATTGTTCTGCTGGGGGACTTCAACGCTCACGTGGGCAATGACAGCGGGACCTGGAGGGGCGTGATTGGGAGGAACGGCCTGCCCGATCTGAACCCGAGTGGTGTTCAGTTATTGGACTTCTGTGCGGGTCGCAGTTTGGCCATAACTAACACCATGTTCAAACATAAGGATGTCCATCGGTGCACGTGGCACCAGGACAGCCTAGGTCGCAGGTCAATGATCGACTTTGTAGTCGTATCATTTGACCTGCGGCCATATGTTCTGGACACTCGGGTGAAGAGAGGAGCAGAGCTGTCAACTGATCACCACCTGGTGGTGAGTTGGATCAGATGGTGGGGGAAGACGCCGCGCAGACCTGGCAGGCCCAAACGAACAGTGAGGGTCTGCTGGGAACGCCTGGCGGAAGAACCTGTCCAGATGATCTTCAACTCCCACCTCCGGGAGAGCTTCGACCGCGTCCCGAGGGCAGAGGGGGACATTGAGTCCGAATGGGCCTTGTTCCGCTCTGCCATTGTCGAGGCGGCAGTTGCGAGCTGTGGCCGCAAGGCCGCTGGGGCCAGTCGCGGCGGTAATCCCCGAACCCGCTGGTGGACACCAGAGGTGAGGGGAGCCGTCAGGCTGAAGAAGGAGGCCTACAGGGCATGGTTGGTCTGTGGGTCTCCGGAAGCAGCTGACGGGTACCGGCGGGCCAAGCGGAGCGCAGCGGCGGCAGTCGTTGAGGCAAAAACTCGGGCGTGGGAGGAGTTCGGTGAGGCCATGGAGGAAGATTATCGATCGGCTCCAAAGAGGTTCTGGCAAACCGTCCGGCGCCTCAGGGGGGGAAGGCGGCAACTTGCTCACACTGTTTACAGTGGGGGCGGGGAGCTGCTGACGTCAACTGGGGACATTGTCGGGCGGTGGAAGGAATACTTTGAGGAGCTCCTCAATCCCACCAACACGTATTCCAGTGAGGAAGCAGAGACGGGGGTCTCGGGGGCGGGTCGTCCAATTTCTGGGGCAGAAGTTGCTGAGGTAGTGAAACAACTCCGAGGCGGCGGAGCCCCGGGGGTGGATGAGATTCGTCCTGGATATCTCAAGGCTCTGGATGTTGTAGGGCTGTCCTGGCTGACACGCCTCTGCAACATTGCGTGGACATCGGGGGCAGTGCCTCTGGAGTGGCAGACCGGGGTGGTGGTCCCCATTTTCAAGAAAGGGGACCAGAGGGTGTGTTCCAACTACAGGGGGATCACACTCCTCAGCCTACCCGGTAAGGTCTACTCCAGGGTGCTGGAGAAGAGGGTCCGGTCGATAGTTGAACCTCAGATTGAGGAGGAGCAATGTGGTTTTCGTCCCGGACGCGGAACCGTGGACCAGCTCTTTACCCTCGCCAGGGTGCTGGAGGGGGCATGGGAGTTTGCCCAACCAGTCCACATGTGTTTTGTGGATTTGGAGAAGGCTTACGACCGTGTCCCCAGGGGCATCCTGTGGGGGGTGCTCCGGGAGTATGGGGTTGGTGGCCCCTTGCTAAGGGCCATCCAGTCCCTGTACCGAAGGAGCATGAGTCTGGTTCGCGTGGCTGGCAGTAAGTCGGACCTGTTCCCGGTGAGGGTTGGACTCCGCCAGGGCTGCCCTTTGTCACCGGTTCTGTTCATAACTTTTATGGACAGAATTTCTAGGCGCAGCCGAGTGGTGGAGGGTGTCAGGTTCGGTGACGGGAGGATCTCGTCCCTGCTTTTTGCGGATGACGTGGTCCTCCTAGCTCCATCGAACAGTGACCTCCAGCTCTCGCTGGGGCGGTTCGCAGCCGAGTGTGAAGCGGCTGGGATGAGAATCAGCACCTCCAAGTCTGAGGCCATGGTCCTCAGCCGGAAAAGGGTGGATTGCCCACTCCAGGTCAGGGGGGAGGTCCTTCCTCAGGTGGAGGAGTTTAAGTATCTCGGGATCTTGTTCACGAGTGAGGGTAGGATGGAGCGGGAGATTGACAGGCGGATTGGGGCGGCGTCAGCAGTGATGCAGGCGCTTAACCGGTCCGTTGTGGTGAAGAGGGAACTTAGCCAGAAAGCGAAGCTCTCAATTTACCGGTCAATCTACGTTCCAACCCTCACCTATGGTCACGAGCTCTGGGTAGTGACCGAAAGAATGAGATCGCGAGTACAAGCGGCCGAAATGAGTTTCCTCCGCAGGGTGGCTGGGCTCAGCCTTAGGGATAGGGTGAGGAGCTCAGACATCCGGGAGGGACTTGGAGTAGAGCCGCTGCTCCTCCACATCGAGAGGAGCCAGTTGAGGTGGTTCGGGCATCTGGTATGGATGCCTTCCGGACGCCTCCCTTGGGAGGTGTTTCGGGCATGTCCAACCGGGAGGAGACCCCCAGAACACGCTGGAGGGACTACATCACCTGGCTGGCCTGGGAACGCCTCGGGGTTCCCGCGGAAGAGCTGACAGAAGTGGCAGGGGAGAGGACTGTCTGGGCTTCTTTGCTGAGGCTGCTGCCCCCGCGACCCGGACCCGGATAAGCAGAGGACGACGACGACGGATCAAATTTGCTGATATTTTACTTGTTTATAAAATTCTTCATGGCCTGGCACCCCCTCCACTCAGTGAATTCATTAAACAAAATCAGAACTCCTCTACCAGATCTACCTCCAGGGGGGGATTGTAAAATACCACACAGAAAGAGCAGCTTTGGATAGTCAGCCTTTTCCAGTCAAGCAGCACATACCTAGAACACTGTACCCATAGAACTCAGGAACATCACATCTCTTAAGTCATTCTCCAAATTAATAACACAGTGGTTACTGGACAATCAAACATGTTTTCATGATCTGAATTAGTGGTTTAGTCCTCATTTCATAACTGTATGTTCGGGCTTATGTGCTTTTGTGTAGTATGTTTTCCCTACATGTGCTTTGATTTTATGAGGATGTCACTGTCTTGCTAATTGTGCATTCTTAATGTTTTAGGTTATATGGTTAGGTCATTGTTTTATTAGTAGTACTTATGTCTTGTTGTTTTTGCCTATGTGCCTTGTTCATCATAAGTGCTATATCGTAGGCAACTGGACTTGCTTGCGTTTCTTGAAGACGTTTCGCCTCTCATCCAAGAAGGCTCTTCTGTTATAAATGACTGGTACAGAGTTGCAGGCTTTAAACCCTGTGTGGGTGGGAAGGGAACCCTAACAGAGTCGTTGGGGTCACATATGAGGTCTAGTTTCAGAGTCGTTAAGGTCACAATGTGAGTCATTGACCCATCTGGCCACCATGTGAGTTGTTAGGGTCAGGTGGGACCAGGGATGAATGGGTGTGAGTTCGTCTTCACCACATCCCTGTACACTTTAAACCCAGTAACTCACTGAGACAGAAACTTGTCCACCCCAAGGACAAAACGCCCAGACAAAAACAGAGTAACGTAGTGTATGCAGTTCAGTACAGCCAGGAATGCACAGATTTATACATTGGGGAAACAAAACAACCGCTCCATAAGCGCATGGCACAGCACAGGAGAGCCAGCTCCTCAGGTCAAGACTCAGCTGTCCACCTACATTTACAGCAGAAAGGACACTCCTTTGAGGACAGCAATGTGCACATCTTGGCCAGGGAAGAAAGATGGTTTGAAAGAGAAGTAAAAGAAGCCATCTACGTCAAGCTGGAACGATTATTGTTAAACAGAGGGGGTGGCCTACAACACAACTTATCACCCACCTACAATGCAGTCTTGGGGTCCCTCCCCAGACGACCTCACACCCATTCACCCCTGGTCCCACCTGACCCTAACGACTCACATAGTGGCCAGATGGGTCAAAGACTCACATTGTGACCTTAAGGACTCTCAAACTAAGAGCTCACATGTGACCCCTACGACTCTGCAAGGGTTCACACCCACACAGGGTTTAAAGCCTGCAACTCCGTACCAGTCATTCAGAACTGAAGAAGCTTCTTGGATGAGAGGCGAAACGTCTTCAAGAAACGCAAGCAAGTCCTACAATATAGCACTTATGATTACCATGACCTGGATGACTGAGAATCTTCACAGACTATGTGCCTTGTTATGTGCTTTTGTCTATGGTTATATGCTTGCGCTGTGCTCATGTGCCTTTCAATGGACATGCCATCAGTTTGTTTTTATCTGCGCTTATGTGTTTCTTTGTTTTTGTATCTTATTTTGTCTTTTTCTTATATACACTTAAATCATCAACCTGCAAATCTGGAACATTTACGTGACTTAGGTGATTATGTTAATTAATGTGCACTGTCCCTTTCTAAATAAAATAAACATACACATTAACATAAACATATCTCAAGAATGCCTTGAGGGAATTTCTTCAAATTTAGCCCAAACATTAACTTGGACTCAACAATTAAATTATTAAACTGTAACTGCAATTTTATTGGTTAGGGGAGGCGTACAGCTGCGAGGTGGTAATTCTAGTTTATATATTATCAAAGTTCATTGCATGTGTGTGAAATGTTTAATATCTCCAGTAGCCTTCAACCATGAAGGTAGCGATGAGAGAGGAAAGGAAGGAAGTCTGCTGCTGGTAGAGAATGTCAGCAGAAGCACAGGACAAAATAGAGGCATGTTAAAAAGAAATTGTCAGCTTTATTCTTGTCGTGCACATCTGAGGAATGCAACATAAGGTGGTGTCAGATCCAATCTTTCAAAAGCACATCTGGGGATATCGGCTAAAAAGGAAGCAGCACCTGCAGCTGGTGAGCTGAAACTGCTTCACTCTGAAATATACTTTTGCCTCACAGCTGTATCATACTGTCATTCTAAAACATGTCTCAGAAGGTGTGTCTCCTCTGTGTCACAGCCATCTAGGACCCTAACTCTTAGTATTTGTAAGTTCAAAGGAATATAATAAAATTCTTATTCTAGAGTTTGTGGAGAGGGTAATGATCATTTTTCTCCTCCTGCAGGGTAAAGCCATCGGAGTGTCCATCGGCTGTATTTTGGGGATGTTCCCGCTGCTTTTCCTGAGTGACGATGACGAGAAGGAGAAAGAAGCACAACCCTGCAGCGACACAGCATCACACTCTTCTTAACAAGTCACTACAGCCACACCACACCGTCATACCTACAGACTGGATACTGCTGATGTCAACTAAAAAAAGAAAAAGTATTTACAGGGCTGGATGTTTCTCTGTCCTCCTGCTCAGGCGGCGTTCACACTTCCTCACTCTCCAAACCCTCTCTGAATCTGTTTGTGTTAGCTCCATCACAACTTCAGCTCTGTGGAGTTTCTTGTGATGCACCGAGCTGTGTTGTTTTCACACTGTTTGCTACATGACATGCCATCTGTTAACTCAATATGTCAGTTTAGTGGGGTCTCACTCATTCAGATTTAGCCATTTTAGATGCTGATGAGGGATCCTATCAGTTTGGATTCTATTGTTTAGTCTTCTTATTAATCCTGTAGTTTCTGGAGTCAGTTATAGACCTGTTTGATAGATTTTTGGTTATTTAAAGTGAGACTATGTAACTTTGCTGAACAGCAACTGATCTAGCAACAGATACAATCCCAAGATTCTCTTGAGTCAGCTGCTTTAAAGACATCATTATTAGACTACATGTGTACTGGTCAGACGTGTTCACTTTCTGTTATGTTTGTCTGTGACGTCTTGATAAGCATAAGCCCTTTTTACACAGAGATTGCATAACAGAGCTGCTACAAAGTCCCATCTTCATGCTGCCTTTGCATTTTACACAGAACCAAATGATGGTGACATCATTCCACTCCAGTGTGTGATTTTAGATAGCATGCCAGTGTCACAGAAACAAAAGAAGTGTGACGTGACACAACAGCATCGACTTCTAGTGTAACATACAACATACACATTTGTGGCACTTTATAAACACTTTCAATGGCATTACATGGCAGTAACAGTGATTTACTGTCCCTGTTATATGGTGGCAGATCTCGTCCTCTTCTCTGAGGTTAACAAGCTCCCCCACCTCATTGTTTTCCAAATTTGCATTTACTTTCAGCCCGCTGTTCTTCTTCTTTGGGTAAGCTGCTAACTGCTATCAGCTACTTTTTAAATTTCCCATGGTGGGTCACACGCATAACATGTCGTCAAAACATCACACCCTTGCCGTCCATTGTCCTGGTCTGCTGGCTGTCCTGTTTAAGGCTCATTTAAGCTTTGGCACGCAGCAATTGTCGTGTCGCTTGACAGAAATTACGTATTTTCAACAGCAAATGGACATGAACAGTGGACAATTTTCTTATTTCATGGACATCATCATATTTTGATGTGCAGTGTGATTGATAGTGTTACTTCTCCCGCCACGGAGACAGTAGTGGATGGAGAATTCTTTTCACTGTTTTCATTATATTATTATTATATATTACAGATTCATTGTCACACAAATGATAGATTACTCTTGCTCCAAAAAGCTGCATTGTTTTTGCCCAAATCTGTACGGGAAGAGCATAAAGTAGATGTGTCTGTAAAGGGAAGATTCATGGGGATCTATATAGAATCCCTTTTGTATACGGATATCAAAAATTGAGACATAAATGAACCTCTGTGAAAATGACCATACCAGTTTTCCCCAGCCAAATTTAGTCTAATTTGGAGCATCGTTTAACACCCCTCCTGGCAAACTAGCGTGACCTGTTTACCCGCTATGGCCTCTGAAAGCCAGCACTGTCGGTGGAGTGGAAAAGGTTAACAGAAAACTTGACTGTCTTGTCTTTTTTTTTTAAGTTAATTGAAGAAACAGCACATGAACTGTATTTGGTGGTTATTTTTCTTCAGCAGACACTCATCTCCACAACACTATTTGTTTCTCATTACTTAAAACTGAGCAGACTTTTCAGTGATGAATATACAGTCACTGCACTTCTTGGCAGTCAGGGTCTCGTCCATCTTTTACCAAAAAACCCAAACAATGTAAAAGGAACAGAGTCCACTGCTACCTCGATGGGAATGTTTTGCATGAAGAACTGCTGAGACTTTAAATTTCCTTGTCGGATTGTTTTGAAAATGCTGGAAAGTCTTCACATGTTTTGTGCGGGTTGGAGCAGGCGCTCGGTGGCAACACACTCTACTTGGAAACTGAAGTTGCTATTTTCAGTTTTGGGCTTTACACTACTGTTTGCTTTCCAACTTCTTTTCTGTATCTGTGTTTTTCTGTCTGCACCATCTTTTCCTCTTCTCCTCTCCTGACTTGGATCCAGCCATCTGTGTGATTCGTTTTTTAGGTTACGCTTCATCAGACTTGAGGCTCCAGATGGTCGGGCTTCACCACATATGACCGTGCAGTCCAAAACAGTCCATACCAGGACAAGTCTATTTAGTAGTTTTCAGTGATTTCTGTGACTCAAACCTCTTTCTTAATCTTTCTCTCCCTCTCACACACTCCAGCTCTCAGCACACATCCAAGATGCTTCTTGTAGTCAAATGAATCCAGTTGATCCTTTTCTCCTCTTCACTGCCACCGGCTGCATCTAAAATCACACTCTATTGGGGGGGTAGGGGATCGATTCAGCATAGTATCACAATATTTTGTGTAGCAATATTGTATCAATACATGGACGCCAAATATTGATTTTTTTTAATTATATAAATGATTAATGTTGCAAATACAAATAACTTTGTTAGCCTACTAAAAAAATAGAATTGATTGTTTTTTAGTCCACTAGATTCAATTGGCGGCAGTAAAAGTGACTGAAGTGACAACTTTATCTTTAAAATGTATCTTATCAGATAAAACAGACGTTGACAAATTTTACCGTTATAACTTACATAATTTACAGTTGAAAAAAGGAAATAAAACGCATGATATCACAATATATCATGGCAATGCTTAGCATTGCAAAACATGTAAAATTGCAATATTGTTGTATTGTGACCAAAGTATGGTGATAATATCATACAGTGGTTCCCACCCCTAGTCCTTATTCACAAAAACTTTGAGTGTCTGGATTTTAAGGCTGCAACTTAAGGCCTTTGCACTCTGAGTCTGTTTTTTTTTTTTTTGGTGTGTGTGTGTGTTTTTTTGTAATACATCAGCGGAAAAAAAATTGCTACGCACAGAAAACTTGCACACTGACTCTGATGAGTTTAATTGTTTTGCGGAAATTCACAATATGTGACGAAATTAAAAGACACATTTTCTTTTTTGCCTCTCTTTACTTGAGTTACGTATCTGGCTGACATCACCCCCTCCCTGTCTTTCATTTGGCCCCGCAGCTACATGAAGGGGCAGAGCTGTCCTCCCTCTCTGTCCTCCACATTCTGTTTGCAGTCCACATCCTCCTCCTCCTCCTCTTCATCATTATCTACCTGAATATTACTGTCTGACCTGTTAAAGTTAGCCATGTGAGATATGAAATTATTCTGTGCATCCCGTTCATCTGTCTTGTGACAGATGCGTCCCCCCACTTTTTTTTTCACTGGTTCTTGGTCCAATGTCTCTAAAGGCTCTGACAGATGTGAAAAACGCAGAAAATCAAACCTGTTCTGAAAAAATTTTAATGACAAAAGTTTCAGACTCAAAGTGTGCAAAGGTGATTGACGCAACCTGAGGTTGCATTTATTTTTAGATGTGCGACAATTTTGGACAAAAAGTGTGTAAAGGCCTTAACAGTTATTTTCATTATCGACTAATTTATTGATGATTTTATGATTAATGGACCAGTTCTTTTTTAAAATGTCAGAAAACAAGACATTTGTCAGAGTGAGCCCAGGTAAATTCTTTATAACAGCTAGGGATGGTCATTTTGAGTAAGTTCCACATTTGAGTACTTGTATTAATTTATTATCTAGTACTGGAGTACTTGCCGAAAAAGAAACAACAACAACAAAAAAGTCAAACATAATAGTAGGGTCCAAAATGAACACCGAGGCTAAACTGTGGTTTGGGGGAAGGGGTCCTGTCTTCGCCACACAGACTTTAGACCTTAGCTATGATACACAAGTTTAACGTTACATAGCTTAGACTTTACATACATTTAGTTTACTTTGTAGAAATACTCCCAAACATTACTTGTATGCCTGGTCACCATTCTGCCTGTAACATCAGATCAAGTAATGTCTGACTGAAAACACTGACTGTGCAGATTTACCTTTTTTTGCTATATGTATCGGTGTAAATATTCATAGACAGCAGTTACATCACTGCGTCCTGTCCACGAAGCACTCAAAGAGACAAAGACCCTGAGGGGGGCTTCATAGTTACTGGACTCACATTATTGTCTGGTTATATACAGTACAGGCCAAAAGTTTGGACACACCTTCTCATTCAATGTGTTTTCTTTATTTTCATGACTATTTACATTGTTGATTCTCACTGAAGGCATCAAAACTATGAATGAACACATGTGGAGTTATGTACTTAACAAAAAAAGGTGAAATAACTGAAAACATGTTTTATATTCTAGTTTCTTCAAAATAGCCACCCTTTGCTCTGATTACTGCTTTGCACACTCTTGGCATTCTCTCCATGAGCTTCAAGAGGTAGTCACCTGAAATGGTTTCCACTTCATAGGTGTGCCTTATCAGGGTTAATTAGTGGAATTTCTTGCTTTATCAATGGGGTTGGGACCATCAGTTGTGTTGTGCAGAAGTCAGGTTAATACACAGCCGACAGCCCTATTGGACAACTGTTAAAATTCATATTATGGCAAGAACCAATCAGCTAACTAAAGAAAAACGAGTGGCCATCATTACTTTAAGAAATGAAGGTCAGTCAGTCCAGAAAATTGCAAAAACTTTAAATGTGTCCCCAAGTGGAGTCGCAAAAACCATCAAGCGCTACAACGAAACTGGCACACATGAGGACCGACCCAGGAAAGGAAGACCAAGAGTCACCTCTGCTTCTGAGGATAAGTTCATCCGAGTCACCAGCCTCAGAAATGGCAAGTTAACAGCAGCTCAGATCAGAGACCAGATGAATGCCACACAGAGTTCTAGCAGCAGACCCATCTCTAGAACAACTGTTAAGAGGAGACTGCGCCAATCAGGCCTTCATGGTCAAATAGCTGCTAGGAAACCACTGCTAAGGAGAGGCAACAAGCAGAAGAGATTTGTTTGGGCCAAGAAACACAAGGAATGGACATTAGACCAGTGGAAATCTGTGCTTTGGTCTGATGAGTCCAAATTTGATATCTTTGGTTCCAACCGCCGTGTCTTTGTGAGACGCAGAAAAGGTGAACGGATGGATTCCACATGCCTGGTTCCCACTGTGAAGCATGGAGGAGGAGGTGTGATGGTGTGGGGGTGTTTTGCTGGTGACACTGTTGGGGATTTATTCAAAATTGAAGGCACACTGAACCAGCATGGCTACCACAGCATCCTGCAGCGACATGCCATCCCATCCGGTTTGCGTTTAGTTGGACGATCATTTATTTTTCAACAGGACAATGACCCCAAACACACCTCCAGGCTGTGTAAGGGCTATTTGACCAAGAAGGAGAGTGATGGAGTGCTGCGGCAGATGACCTGGCCTCCACAGTCACCGGACCTGAACCCAATCGAGATGGTTTGGGGTGAGCTGGACCGCAGAGTGAAGGCAAAGGGGCCAACAAGTGCTAAACACCTCTGGGAACTCCTTCAAGACTGTTGGAAAACCATTTCAGGTGACTACCTCTTGAAGCTCATGGAGAGAATGCCAAGAGTGTGCAAAGCAGTAATCAGAGCAAAGGGTGGCTATTTTGAAGAAACTAGAATATAAAACATGTTTTCAGTTATTTCACCTTTTTTTGTTAAGTACATAACTCCACATGTGTTCATTCATAGTTTTGATGCCTTCAGTGAGAATCTACAATGTAAATAGTCATGAAAATAAAGAAAACGCATTGAATGAGAAGGTGTGTCCAAACTTTTGGCCTGTACTGTAATTTAATTTTTTTGTTTTTGTTTTGTTTTCCAAAAATTTAAATATGTCGAAAATAAACATTAGCATGATTGCAACATATTAGCAGAGATAAATTGACCTATTCATAAAAAACAAAAACAAGACAAAAAAACATTAATTTCCTGTACACATCATTGATAAAAGGGTAACTTCTACTCATGAATCCCTGTGCAATGATGGTAGCTAGGTAACACTAAATCACTGTGCGGTACTGATCCATAATAACGAGATGAACTAGTCAGCTAACAGTTATATATTATTGAAACATATTGGCCAGTCAGCTATATCACTAATCCAAGTTTACAGACATTGTTGTGAGTCACAATAAATTGTTATGTAACTTTTTAATCAAGAAACTCTGACACACCGCCCACCTCAGAAACAAACATGATGTATACAGTAAAACTTCAATTAAAAGCCTAGTCCTTATTAAACAGCCAGTCCCTTTTACTAGCCTGGTTGGCTTCACATATTGACAAATAAAGATCTGTCTTAATTAGACGCCTGATCTGTTTGCTAGTAGTTCATTTTTATAGTTATTTGGATTTATAAATCCAAATTATTAACTACCCATCAGAGCTTAGGTAGTTTAGGTAGCTGTTAAGATCGCACATACAAATATAAATGTTTAAACTTTTGTCAATAAGGAGATACTACACATCTTTGCTCAGTTAGATTCTCCACAATTAAATCATTCGGTTCATTTTACTGAAACCATGAGCACCAGAGAAGACTAATTTATTCAGATTTACCAACATGACAAAAATACAAGTGGTGACTCCCTTCCCCTGATGATAAAAGCAGAGTATGTATCAATTCCTTAATTACCCGTTAAGTTATTCCTTTAGTCCGTAAGGGTCCACTGATGAAAAGTATCAAAAGGGTTTTTCAAAAAAATTAATCCAAGTCATGAATATTGTTTTAACAGGATAAAGTGGTGTTGTGTCAGTATGCCAGGTGCCGTAATCCTCTCCAATGTCCTGTCTGTTGGAGCTAGATCAAATAAATGATTTATATTTCATATGATTATTCAAAGCCTGATTTTTATACAGGTAATGTTCATACTGGTTCAAATAAGCAATTTGATTGTATTTCTTATTTTTGCTGAGCAACAGTTTTGTAAGAAAGGAATGAAAGGCCTGCCCCATATAGATGCCTGGAACAAATATAGGCCTGTTAATTTCAGTGATTTAAGTAAATAATAGCCTAAGGAGTCCTTGGCCAGAAAAATGGTGAAGACCCTTGCTCTACTTTGAATAAATACTGAAATCCAAATCAAGTACTTGAGTGTACTCAGGCCCATCCCTAATAAGCACCTTTTTTCTGATCACTAGCCTCAGAGACAAACATGTTCAAAATTTTAGAAGCTGTACTAGTTTGCTGTTCTTGGTTGAAATTTGACTGTCAGAATGTCTCAATTATTTTTCCGTTGATTGACTAATTAACAATCCCACATAGCAATACTCATTATCACATTTGATAGATGCATAAATTACAGCCGTGCTACACTACTGCTCACTGCTCACCATAGAGTAGGGATGTATGATATGTTATTGGCCTATGAATGAGAAAATGTACTTAGTTATTTTTCTGATGATGTCATTTATATGTGATCTTGGGGATCTTGGGGATTACGAATATTTGTACCTCATACAAGCTTTTCAGTAAGGAGAGAAAGACTGCTGTTCATTAGAATTAACAAGAAAAACTTTAGGGTTATATTGTTACACACAAGTTTACAATAATTCTATCTACTGTTTACTCTTGGGTCTGTAAAGACTAAACATATTACACAATATTGAAAAAAAGCTTGTTTTCCTCTCCAAGAGTAACATTATTTCATATCAGTGCATTTCTACTACAGAGTTAACTATTGAGAGTGTGTTATATCGGGGAAGTGAATGAGTGACTGACAAAGTGATTTCACACACAGTCACTGGATCTCCATTAATCCTCAACTGGTTTCCTCAAGAGCATCTCTACATTATCTTCTATACAGATCATAAAGAGAGAACAGGAGTCATTTTGATGCCTTTAAAAGTTTAAAAATTGCCAAAACTTTAGAGAAATCTTGCAATAATGATTGTGTCTTAGCTGTTATTGAACAGATTGTGATGTATTTGCTGTGGGGAGGAGATATGATTGTGTGTAGAGGGATGGGGACACAAATCCTCAAATCAAAAGGAATTAAGGGCTGGAACAAAAAAAAGTTAGTAAACCTCAGAGTTCACCCTGACGGGTGACAGAAATGTTTGAACAATATT